GCACTGAAGGGCGAGCCCGTACAAGAAGGAGGATCAACCAAGCTACGGTTTTGCAGCACCTTTAAAGACTGGGCCCAGAAAAGGATGTCTGAATATTACAAAGATAAGTAAAATTTTGTGTTACTTTACAAACTTAAGTTAATCTTTCATTCTTACTGCAAGTGGCAGATTTGAAGAAGTTTTACCTCATGCGAGGTCTACCTTTATCGCCAAAAGGGCGAGAAATGAGTTGTGACCGATTTTTCTTATTATGTTTTTCAATTACTCGCGCGTAAAACTAAAGTTGATGTATAATAGCGTTGTTATAAAGACTTAAATATTGTAAAAAGTTATTGTATAAATTTTATTTAAAACATTCTAACGAGAAAGACGTTTTAGTCTGAAAGACTTTTTGAAATGTAGTATTATTTCAATGTAGAAAGAATTGGCACTTGCTTTGAAAAGAATAGAAGTTAACAATGTACTACTAATGTATGTTTTCAAATGTGTAAAATTAACGGCATCCTGATATGTGTGAACTGTTATTTTGAATGTTTAGAAATACCGTGATATGGTAAAAGTGAAAGTAATGTTAAAAATTTGTTATTCGTGTGACTGTAAAGATTAAATCATGCTGAATATGTGTTAAAGGTTGAATGATGTAGTTAGGCTCTCTGACGCTACACTTTAGAGTTAGCCACTTTCAGAATAGTACCTCAGGTCTAGAGTTGAAATTAGGGTGTGTTAAGAGGTCTCGTATGTTGAATTTTAACACGTTAGTGTTTTGATTGTAGGAGGAAGTGTTGAACACATAGACAGAAACACATTCGTGTTTTGGTGTTTTTACAACACATGTCAGAGAGCACGGGGAGAGATAATTAAAATAGTCATGAATGAAATAAGAATGTTAAGAAAAGTATATTCTATATGTTATTTGCAATGTCATTCTGTAACATTTCATTAAACTAGTTTTCCTTCCAGATCTCTGGAAGGAACCAGAATTGAATAAGCTCCTGTTTTGATGCAGTACAGATGAAAAAGAAAAAAGATTGTTGTATATTCCGGGAGCTGCTATTGTAACAAATTTCTTTCTTTTAAAATTTTTCTAGTTTCTAGCTAAGTTATGTTTGTAAAAGTTTGGCCTCGCGTTAGTTTCTAGAGCTAAAAGTTTTCAACAAGGTCGTTTTAGACCTCAGTTTCAAACTAATTAACTCTGGCGGGAAGTATGTAAGGATCTTAAGTTTTACTAACGTTTATTTTATTTTAAATCTTTACTATCACTTCTTATTTTCTACTTCCGGCCAGAATTATAAGCGTGAAGGAGTTTATGCAAAGTTGTCTGGCGAACGCCAAGTATTTTAAGTGTGGCCTTTTTGCCAAGCAGGAGAGAGGAAGCCGTGAGTTCGAAGCAGGCCGCTTACCTTAGAAGTTACGCAGTTGCTACTTTGCCTTGCCTTCCAGGCCAGAGGTTTTAATCCTCTTGATAAATTAAACGTATTGTAGTGTTCACAGTCTCTGTGCTACATACGCTTTCTGTTATTATAAGGCCAATCTTATTCTAAAGTTAAATTAGAGTTTAGTTTTATTTTGATATCTTTTAAGTTAGACCCCGAGTGGAGGGTCATTGTATTCCGAAGTACGGAAGTCATTGTATATAAAGAAAAAAATAAAGGGTTTTGTATACCCTTCGTCTGTATCCTGTCCACTTACTACAATTAGTGAACAGCTTTAGTAAGCTCTGTTCTAGTCAGGTCATTGTATGTTTCCGAAGAAGTTAGAAGAAACATTGAACCTGATAAGTATTTTTAATTATTTGAGGATATTATTTTTATGCATTGTTCTAATATAAGGTGGAAGTAAAGGAATTTGGTATTATGGGAAAATTGTTATTAGCAATGATTTAGTTTAAAGTAATTAGGATTGTAAAGTAATTTTTATTAATTTATGTATGTTGCTCATTTATATTTTAAGTAGTGTTTTTGAATTTAATTATATTTTAATTAAAGATAGTTAGTATTTGTGAGTTTATGTTTGTAGGAATTTGGTATAACGTTTTAGCTGAGTAAACAAACGTGCATGGAAATAATTTAAATATCTGACACTAAGTAAAAGAAGATGCACACCTAGGCAGTGATCTTGTATCATTCCTGGAGGGATGACGTCTGTGTTACAACCCCTGGACGTTAGTATAAATAACCTTTTAAGGGGTACGTTTCAGGCGGAGTACGAAAAATGGTTTTGTGAGCCAAACCGGTATTGACCGACAGGAAAAATTAAGCGTGCCTGCACCGCACACATTGTTGCACACTGGGTTTCTGCTGCCTGGAAAGCATCGAGCACACCAATGATTGTGAAATCTTTCAAGAATGCTGCATTTCAAATTCATTGAATGGAGTGACGATGACGTGCTCTGGATCACCAAGGATGATGATGACGATGATGAGGAAAGAAGAAATGAATCTGCTTCTGACGAAGAGAGCGGCGAGGATTCCAGTGATGAAAACATTAGTGATAAAGACGTTTACTATTAATCACTGATTGTAGAAACTGTTTAGCTAGATAGAAAGTTACGATTTATTTCATGTTCATATTTTACTATAGGTACCGTATATCGGTAGTGCTAATTAACAATGATTGTTTCACATGACAATAGCCCACTATAGGTTAATTCTATGTTCTGCTACTTTATGTATAAATCCATTGTTGTATAAAATATGGTATCTAAATTTAAATAAAATTATCATACCATTAATTGATAGTTTATATACAAATCCATTGTTGTATAAAATAAGATTCAATAAATTCCTCATATCATTGATGCGCATTACATTCGCCGAGAAAAATTTTTTTTTATTATTTAAAGTTTTAAAATGGGGATGCGCATTAGATTCGAATAAATACGGTATGTTCTTTTTACCGGGTTTAAAGATTGAGAAAATTGTCATGTATTTTCGTGAAATTTTTCTAATTTATGAGAAAGCAGTGTACATGGATATAGTGAAGAGTGTGCGCAATGCCATTTTTGTGCAATTCTGGGATGTTTTTTTAAGTAAAAATAAGTCGATGTGTACACGGTTTAGTGATATTTTAATTAAATGATAGTTATTTTGTGAATTTTATGTTTGTAGGAATTGCGTCCAGACAAAGCATTGATGGTGGATTAGAGAGCCCACCGGGACGGCGTTTCCATACATTTCGGTATCGGTAACGGTTCGTATCGGTATACGTTTAAGTTGAAGTAAACGTGCATGGAAATAATTTAAATATTTGATACTAAGTATTTGTAATGCTTGCGGTATGAATTCGTTGGTGACGTGTATAATGTAATAGATGATTTAGAGGTAAAAGTTTTTGGATATTTTATTTATTTTATATGTGGAAATGTTCATATTTGGAAAGGGTAAATACTTTTTCGCGATCAGGTAATTTCATATATGTTCTTTTTAATGGGTTTAAAGATTGAAAAAATTGCCATGTATTTTCGTGAAATTTTTCTAATTTATGAGAAAAAAGCAGTGTACATGGATATAGTAAAGAGTGTGCGCAATGCCATTTTTGTGCAATTCTGGGATGTTTTTTTAAGTAAAAATAAGTCGGCGTGTACATGGTTTATGTGTATGTGTTATTTTGAAAAACGCGTAAAGAGTATGGTATTGTGTACTTTTTCCCAATTTTGCAGTGAATATTTGTCATGATTAAACAGTTTTGTTAGATAAAATTTCTAGCATAAGTGTTATTCGGCTAGTAGATTGTTGGAAGAAGTGTTTCATAGATAAAAAGAAAAGAAACATGTCTTTAACTTCGTGAAGACAAAATGGCGACGGGGAAAAAAAATAGAGGGTTGCTGTAGGAGAGTTGGTCGCCAAAATTTTGCCAAAAAATGCCAAGTTACCATAATGTAAAGATCAACCATTTTAGGATTGAAGTTCGAAATATAGACAAAAAATTTAAGTAATATGGCTGTGGCGAGAAATTTGGCGTCTTGAGGGCGCATATCAGAGTAGTTCCCATTATTGTTATAAATGAAGCAAGTATTTGCATAATGAAGTGATGATTTGGCAAAAAGTGTAGAATCACCCACTGCTCGGTGCGTTTTTAAGAATTGCACGTACTCGGTATCCATGTACACATTGACCTATTTTCACTTAAAAAAAATCCCAGAATTGCACAAAAATGGCATTGTGCTGTCCCTTCACTTTATCCATGTACACATTGACCTATTTTCACCTAAAAAGGTCAAAGAAAATTGACGAAAATCTAATTCTTTTTACTCTTGTAAAAAAGCATCAAACAAAGAAGTGGGCGATCCTGCAGTTTACCCAATTTTGTATTACTTCCAATATAAGAAATATTTATAATATTAGCATATAGGAAAGTATTTTGGCCCCTTTCTGAAGTAGACATGTTAAGGGACTAGTAGCACAGAAACTCAATATTTTTTGTAAATATACTATACTATAATTTTCTGTTTTCACTTTTCTAATCTATAAAGTATTGGGCAGATTATAATAAATTATGATATTAATAACTTCTGTAAAAGGAAAATCATACAAAAAGGAATTAAGTTACTAACAAGTATATCGGTAAAAAAATTAACTAAAATTTTTGACATCTTTCAAAACTTCATAATTTTCAAATATACAGAAAGACTAGATTTTCTCTGCAGAAGTATAACATCTCACTATTTTGCCAGCACGACATATGAACTTTAAATACCTTACTTTAAGCTACATTATTAAATAATCGTTTAATAACATCGCTCTATCTCTAAAACAGAGAAAATTTCATTATCTGATTTATACAGTTACCTTATAAACGATACAAATCAGACAACCCTTGTGTATTTTATCATTATTAATCAGCGTAAGTAATAAATAGCATGCTAAAAATAATTTTTAAGATTAATACACCAAATATGAGATAAAAAAACAACTAAAAACAAATCTAAATATTCAAATTTTGAAAGAAATATTATGGATTTTTAAGGTAATCAAACGAAACAAACACGCAAGTGAACTCACATTTTCAATTTTTTGCTACTCCTTTAATCCAAAAAAGCAAAAAAATTGGAATTTTATGCTCCGAAAACGGTTTTAAAGATGCACGTTCAAACTATTCACATGAAAAATAAACCATGCGGTAATCACGAACACACAAATCGACGCGGCCAGTTTCCAAAATCGAAAGAACATGCTTATTTACGTCAGCAAATGTTGTAGGCGGGATGTACAAACTTTTTTTTTTTTTTTTTTTCCTGTATTCTTTTGTTAGCAGGTGTTGTTTCTCAAGATAGCAATTTTTCCTCTGTTTTAAATGGGCAAAGTTCAAATTTTCTAGTGATTAAAAACACTGATATTACAGCGTCCTATCCTTTTGGTAATAGAGCGTAAAAGAGTATCTTAGCATCTGGATCTTCTCCTTCACTTTGTAAATTTATAGGTAATACCTTTGTCTTTCTATTTTATGTATCAGTTCCAGATGAAAATAAAACGATTAGTCTCATTTGAAACACACATAGAGAATGATTGTTTTCTGTCCTCTAGCATGTTTGCAAGGCCATAACAAGGTTGTTGATTGTTATGTTACGGAAAAACTACTACTACAACTTGCGTGTGATTGGTGACGAATGTGTGAGGTATGTGCTATCTAAGGAAGCGAAGGATTTCCCCCAGAAAGTTTATGTGACGTTTCTCCAAACAAGGCGGAATAAGATTTCATGTTTAAAATTCAAAATTGATAATAAATGACGTAATTATAACAGTTTCCATGGTTTATATCAATAGTTGGGATGAAAAGTGAAACTGCTTTATTAACAGTTAGGCTTAGAGAGATTTAAAAATTTTGTTTTCATGTAAAAAAACTGTTATGTTTACTCTAAGATGTGTGAAGGTATTAGATGCCTGCATATGTATATTTGATTCAAGTAAGTTTAGCTATTAAACTTTTTAAAAGCTAGTTTACTGTAAATGAACGTTTTTACGGACTTTTAAAGCCTGTGTTTTTGGTTAACCTGTTTTGAGCAGTTGCAGTTTTATCTTGATTAACATCTGAATATGTACCTGTTTCAGTAGGTTTATTGTTATGTATTGATTATATTGTACAGTTTATCTTAAGCGTTCTACATTTTGGTATATAATTAAGGATTTTTATGGTCTTAATAATTTATTATTAAAATTAAAAGTTGTATTTGTTTTCTTGATGCCAAGTAAGGCTTGTGACTGTTGCTTGTAATTAGAACATATTTTCGACTCTATCCATTTTATGAACGTATTAGTTTGTGTATTAAATTTTTTCATATAGACTTTCTTGACCTTGATCGTCATAATTTTTTAAAATAAAATATAAAATTTTTTATATCTTAAAAAGTCAAATTTTAAATTTAAATTATCATAAATCATACCATGTTAAAAATTTAGCCCACATTTCATATGAAGAATTCTATAAATAAAATGTTTAATTTTGATTATTATATGTAGATTTTATCTGTATGCTAATTTGTTTTCCTATGTTAAGTCATACATTAATTTTCTTTGTGTTTTAATTTTTAAATTTTAATATGAAAAGCAGTTTAGAATAATCATTTTACTATTTAATCCTTAAAACATTGTCTGCTTCTGTTAAATGTACCAACTATTTTTAAAATTGCTTAATTTATGTCTGATAATCTACATTTATAGTATTTAAATAATCATGAATGCATAGTTGATGCGTGATATTTTTCGCAAGTCAGCACAAAACTTTGAACACTTAACTGTGCTGAGTTTTTTGTTTTGTCATCTTCATTGTGCTAGATAGGCGCTGTTAAAAATCTATGGAATGAGATTGTGACACCTATATGACTGGAAGCATTTTGTTACTCCCACATGAATTTTCTGGTTTGTTTAGTAAGTAATATACCTCTTGCAGGTGGGCCTTTTTATGAATCATTTATCATTGGTTTAAAAACTATAGCTTAAACATTTCTTTTATTGAAAATTTAGAAGTGAAATTAAAATTATTTACAAAATCATTAAGATCATAGATTTATTTAGTTTTTTTTATTATAATTAGCAAAACATCTTAACAAAAGTTATCTGAAATTAAATAAAAACACATTTAGCATATTGAAATGGAGATTTACTGTATTACTCTCTGTACTTGTATTTACATATAATTATTTTACTTTTTATTAATCCTCAGTTTGAATTGTTTTGTATAGTTTTGTGCACATTCTTGCAGGCAGTATTAATTAAATGTAAAAAAATCCTGATGTGTACGCCACATGACTTCCTTGTACGGAATATCACGAAAAATTCTCTTCAGAATTCATATTAAAGCAATTTTATAATTTTTTTGGAGGAAAAGAGTGTTTTATTCTGTCCTTACATACAGATATCATGGAAATACAGTCAAAAGTCGTTAATTCGGACACCCATAATTCAGGATGATCTATAATCCGGACATCAAAACTAAAAACTTTCTGCGCATGTGCCGCGTTGACACATGCGCATAGGCGTTTACGCGTGCGCGTAAGACCTTTTACGACTGCGCATATCAGTGTGCGCAAGTGCAGAATACGTTTTCGTGTGCGCGTTTTATGTATAATGGACGTATAAGCTAAATTATCTAATTATCTATTTCAGTTAATGTTGAGATTGCGTTGTTCCTTAATTTTCGAATTCGATCCGGCTTATTATTTTTGCAGACTGTAAGTTTTATAAAAGTAAGCTTAAAATAAAAGTAAGCTTAAACTTTCGATTATATCAAAAGAATTTCCGATATATATTTGTTAATATGTAAAGGATCTAAAGCGAAAGTATGTTTTGAAATCCGAAATCTGTTTATCAATTTCACGCTGCTCGACGGGTGGAACGCCGTGCCGCGGCGGGCGCGTAATGAATTGGAAGTTGATTTGTCAGCACTATCCTTATCTTCAGCGCAGATGTTTTTATTTGGCTTATAATTCCTTACCAAATGTAGTATTTCATCTCGATATGCTCGATATGATTTAAAACAAGTTTCTGGTCATTATAATTCGCTTCCGATAGCCAAAAAAAGTAACAGAGGTTATTGAAAACGAAAAAATTTTGATTGACAAATTAGTCGGTGTTCTTGACACAGCAATTATAGGACTTGAACAGCGGAACTTTGTAACTGAACAATAAATTATGTCTGTTTAATAGAATTAAAGAGAAAGTATTATCACATGAAATGAAGCAAAACTTACAACTTACATTAAAAGAAATGTTTAATAAAGTAAACAAATAAATATTAAGCTTTTTCTTTTTGCAAATTTTGATACCGTTTAGATCATAATTGTTCTTTATTTCATAAATTACGGTTTCATATTTTTAATTTTAGAATTTCTGCATGCCATCTTACGAGATTTAAACTGATGATCTATAATCCGGAAAAATCGATAATCCGGAATCGCTGAAGTCCCGACGAGTCCGGATTAACGACTTTTGACTGTACATCATTAAATTGCATTCGAAAGAGGTCAAAATGGATATTTTCGTTGAAATATGCTGCCTGAAACTTTACGCGATTACAATACTTCCTTTTTACTTCGTATAAGGAAGTAAAAAGTATTTCAAATTTCAATAGACTTCATTTAATAATTTAATAAAATGTTTCTCACTTATCTCTTAAGACTTTTTGTCTGGAAGGGCATTTTTTTACAGATAGTTTCTGAAATATTTTGTTATACATAAAATATATTAAAATATATTATAAAAAGTAATTAGTGGAATCATTGGAATATTCTTATATCATTTATCTCTCTGTATTTTTTACTAATAAATATATACTTTTTTACTAATTAATAATATACAGTCAAAAGTCGTTAATTCGGACACCCGTAATCCGGACCTCAAAGCTACTAGCTTTCTGCGCATGCGTCGCGTTGACCTTTAGGGCTGCGAATATGCTTGTGCGCGTGCGTAAAATACATTTACGAATGCGCATTTTATGTATGATGGACGGTATACGCTAAGTTTAAATTATCTAATTCAGTTAATGTTGCAGATTGCGTAGTTCCTTAATCTTCGAATTGGATTCGACTTATTATTTTTTGCAGAGTGTTAGAGCAATTTTATAAAAGTAAGCTTGAACTTTCGATTATGTCAAATAGAATTTCTGATATATATTTATTAATATGTAAAGGATCTACAAAGCGAAAGTATGTTTTGAAGTCCATTAAACAAAAAGTGGAATTGCTGCAAAAAATGGATAAAGGCATATCCTTTGTTTATCTAAACTTTAACATTTGCTTATCTAAACTTTGTTTATCTTTAACATCGTGGCGGGCAATGAATTGGAAGTTGATCTGTTAGCACTATCCTTATCTTCAGGGCAGATGTTTTTATTTTTTGGCTTATAATTCCTTACTAAATGTATTATTTCATCTCGATGAACTCAGTCTTTGATATGATTTAAATCAAATTCCTCATCATTATAATTCGCTTCTGATAGCAAAGAAAGTGACAGAGGTTATTGAAAGCGAAAAAAATTTCGATTGACAAATTAGTCGGTGTTCTCAACACAGCAATTATAGGACTTGAACAGCGGAACTTTGTAACTGAACAAGAAATTATGTCTGCTTATAGAATTAAAGAGAATGTATTATCACATAAAAAACGAAGCAACTTAAACAACTTGCATTGAAAGAAATGTTTAATAAAGTAAACAAATAAATATTAAGCTTTTTTTTTTTTTGTAAATTTTGATACCCTTTAGATCATAATTGTTCTTTATTTCATAAATTACAGTTTCATATTTTTAATTTTGTAATTTCTGCATGCCATCTTACCAGATTTAAACTGATGATCTATAATCCAGAAAAATCGATAATCCGGAATCGCTGAAGTCCCGACGAGTCCAGATTTACAACTTTTGACTATATTAGAAACATTCTATTGTCAAAATTGTAAAAATATAGATGGCTAGGCCATATTTATAGATATGATTCAAAGATAAATTTTTAAAAAATAGAGGGGAAATAATGAAAAGGAAGACCATTCCTTAGATGGCTAGATAGTGTCGAAAAGAATTTGAAACTGAATGGGCTAAACCAATGGGAAAGCTGTGGTGCCCAGTAGGATCAGATGGAGAAAACTTAAAATAGGTAGCCTTGGCCTGTAACAGGCTGTAGAGAGTAAAGGAGGATGGTAAAAATATATTTCCAGGTGCCCCTTAGCGAAAATTGGTGATTTTTGGCAGTACATAGACATCGAGTTTGTGCAATTCTTCGATTTCTTATTTTGGCTTTGTGTTGCCACTACATAAAGCCAAAATAACAAGTCAGAGAATTGCATAAACTCGGTATCCATGTACACATCATCCTGTTTTCACTTGAGAAACATCAGAGAGTTTCACAAACTTGGCATTGCGCACTCCCTTGACCTTGTCCATGTACACATCAATCTATTTTCACTTAAAAAGTCAAAGTAGCACCCAGTTTTACACTAGAGCCAAACAAAAAATATATAAACTACATTGTAAATCAAACAATGGAATAACATAAATTCATTTTATAGTATCTAAGAAGGGGAAAAAAAAAAAAAAATCCGCTTACATTAATTAGAAATTTCCATGTCTTCAATCATGGGCACACAAAATTCCTTGACAGCATCTCAAAACTTTCCTCAAACCATGTTCCCTTTCTAATGGAATGCTTTATATGGTGAGCATTTGAACCTTTCTTGCTATGCATTTCCTTCGTACAAACAGGACACTTATAATTCTGCTGAATTACAGTCAACAAAGTTTCTTTTCTTCAGTCCTCAACCACTTCATTAAAAAAACTTTTTCTCTTTCTATACCACCAAACACCCACTTTACCACTGGCAGCCATTCGATGCAAGGCACACAATATGCGACATACTTCCTGACATCCAACAAATATTTTCCCATTAATCAAATTCACTGCAGTCATGTAACCATAATAGGGTTTACATTACATTCAACTACTCAGATTACCATAAATGAAAAAACAACTTGGTGGTAATCCAAGGGGCACCCATAAATATAGGCTAACCAGGAAGAAGTATGGCAAAATTGCTCTAAGCCTGCATGTTTTTCCACTCACAAGTTATGTTTTCTCTTCAGTTATTTCCTGAAACAATTGCTGAACAATATTTTCACTTCTTTACGTGAAAGAGAAAAGCTTTAGACTTCTTTCAGAAAACATAAAATATATTAATGCGATTTTCTTATGAAAGTGAAATATCCAGAAGTAGAATATTTGTACTTTATTACTGCATACTAGCAGCTGAGTTAGTAAAGCTACTGAATACTAGCTTTTTTATATCTGCTGAGATTTCTGGTTCATTAGAGTGAGAGCATGGAAATTTTTTTGAACTGAAAGTACAATATAAGTAACAATTTAACTTCTTTATTAACTTTAATATTGTGAGGCCCCTCTCTGTTAACCTCCAAGTTAATGTTTATTTCTCACTTACTCTCTCACATACTAGGTTTCTACATTTGCTTTTAATATGGCATCAGAAGCAATTTTTTCATCTCGAGGATTTTTGGCACATGATGACAGTGAACCAAGCCTTATTAATTTTTATTTTGCCATTTAGTGGAATACCAGTCTCTCAACATTTTGTGTGTAAGCAGCTGTTGGATCAACAAAATGAAATTTATGATTAACATTAAGAAGTCTCCAATCAGCTTTTCCCAGCTTCTCTGTTTTATATGCTTGCCAGCAGTCTAAATAAATTGCCATTCCCTCTTGTACATGGTCATTGATTTATACCATGAGTTTCCTCTCTGTTCGGAACCTGAGCAAGAAAGAATTCGTAAGCTTCTAGGTTAACCCACCAGATATCCGATATCATTCAACAACCCTGCCAATTTTTTCTCCCATATAATCAGATTTTCGTTTATGTCCATATTTTTTTCAGGGCCACCTATTCCGTTATTTGGCTGTTGTTGTCATATCCATTTTACATGAAACAATGGTTGCCAGAGCCTACTCCAAAGAGATGTTGGACCTCTATTTTCCATCCCAATATTGAGGAAAAACACCCCTCAGTTATTTGGTTATCAGATTTGATATAGAGAATACATCTCCCTCATCAAGCTGTTCCAATCAGTAGTTAAATTTTTTTTAAAGAAGGAGTTGTTCCCCACCACTTAATCAACATCAGTTACTTTACCCAACAGTAAATTAATTGCTGCCCTGTCACAAACAGTATTCTGAAATCACTGAATCAGTTGTTTAATTGTATGCTTTTCCTTAACTTGTAACTTTTCACGTTGCAGTTCCAAATGCTTTTATTGATGTGCAGTTTTATTTAATGGTTGTTTTTGCATATTTGTAATTGCAAGGTGAAAACACATCTTTCTTGGATAAAAGATATATTATCTTCGTCTCTTCTTGATATATAAAACATTTTTTTAACAATGAAAATACATTGACACATGGAATACTCAGACATCTTGTGATAAGAGAATCATGAATGATTGCAAATTGATGACATTTATATTAAAAAATGCAATAATGAGTTTGACTTAAAGCTCTTGTCATGAGCAAACTATAAGTGATTGCCGTTAGGACTACTGACCATTTGAAGATGGTTTGCTTTAGCAGTTCGTCAATAATCATGGCATGTTGGGGGATGTAATAATAAAGAAATACATAATTAGATGAGCTTATTTTATGCAAACTAGATCAGTTCTTTTTAAAAAAGAGATGCATAACAAATTTTGCTTTTCAAGAAACTTCCTAGTATAATTTTTTTCATGACATGAGGTTAATAAATTGATTTTTTTTTCCAGCAAAGTAGTGAAACCACAAGATTTCCTTATTATTAAAAAATGGCTGGTCCATCTGGTAGCAGTAATAATTTTAATGGACCTAATTCAACAAGGAAACATGGCTTAAGTCGCTTCTCTTTAGCTCGTTTGTTCAACATATCGTCATACACTCATCGCACGACTGGACAGCGTTGCAGTTCGAACATTGATAGTGATAGGAGATCAGAAAGCAGTTCTGTGGGATTTGGAATTGGAATCCCAACAAAAGTAAGTGACCTGAAATATATGTATATACTATAATTAATGTGTAAATGATAAAAGATTTATCATTTTAAAATTGTAATTATATATTTTATTTTTGAAAAGGTTTATCTCTTTGGTAAAATGTATTTTGCTGAAGATTCCAGATTGATCTTGGAATTCTTTTTTTACACAATTTCCCTGCTTTTAGCAGTTGTTTAAAAAAAAAGGGTTTTGTAATATGTCCAAATTTATATTTTTTTTGCTCGTAAGAGGAAGGAAAAAAAAGAAAGTTGAAATCATTTCACATATTTGAAATATTTTATTGTCTTGGTTTTCATAGATTTATTTTTAAGAACTGTGTCTTGTACCGAGGCGGTCCGCACATTTTTTAGATGTTTTTTATTGTAATTACTGAAATATTTTACATATAATTTTTATGTTTTAAATAATTTATTTGTTATTCACTATCTTTCTGCACTGTAATTTTGAAGACAATAATAAAGCCTTTTGTAATATCAAAAGTGATATTTTATCCTGTTGCTCAAGAACAGCTTTCTAAAGTCTAAGGATGTTGTAGGTCGACGTTTGAACAACCAGCTTTTTAAAAGCACAAAAATACATTGGTGACAGATCGGGAGATTTAGTAGAGGTCTGTGTGATCTGATACCTGTTTCTTGTTGTATTTTTTCCAGGAAATTAACACTGGATTTTGTCGTGTGGCTGCTAGTCTTGATGCTGTTCTATAGTTTGATCACATTGTGAAAGAGAAGGTATTTCATATTTGAAAATTGGGTGTAAAATATGTTTTTGATAATATGTATTGATCTTAATATTTTTCTTAGCTCTCTTTATTTTTAATTTGCCGCTATGTGAAAACTCAAGGACAGTCATAAATTCTTTAGAAAAATTTTCTTTAAATTACTTGAACCATGTTTTTCGATTTTTCCCTCCTCTTTGATGATAGTGAAGATCTCTTTTTATTGCAGTCATTTAAGTATACCCAACATTCATCTGTTGTGAGAACATTTTTCCAATTTTTCCAGATAAATATTTCTCATAAAGAGTTCTGCAGCATGCTCTATGATGGTGATATGTTGTGAAGAAAGGCGATGCACATTATTCCTTGAATACATATTTGGAACAGTTTTTCTACTTGAAGCACAATTTTGATTTCTCCCCCAATCCATTTCTTCTTTAAATCGACATTTTGCAGGAAAACAAAACTGTCAAGTAGCAGATAGTAATTTATACTTTAAAAAAAATATAGTTGGGTTTGAAAAAAATTTTTTCAAGTAAGTTTTTTTTTTTTTTTTTTTGGAAAGCAAAATCGTTTAAAAAATGTATGTCCTTTTGTGTACAGCTTCTTGTACTGTAATTCTTGTACTAATATGTACTTTTGTTCTTCTTTTCTTATATTTTTGTTTATGCTCTAGAAAAAGTGTCTTATTTGGTCTCCGTGAAATTATTTATACTGGTGAACAGTTGCTAAAAACGGGTGACAGTAGCAGTGATAGCAACCACAAAATGGATGGCAGGAAAATGTGGAAATTAACATAAGCGCAGGATTACAGTAAAACATATTGTGCCTATTGGAGATTTTGGATTGCCAAAGTTGTTCACTACGTGATAACGCCAATAAGATATATAAAGGATTTAATGTGTACTTGTTCAATATAATAGGGAAGAATCAATTAAAGAACTTGCAATTTTCGTCTTCCCATCATCACTTAGATGATTTTATATGTGGCCACATTTTTGGCAAGATTGAAGAAGGATGAAAAATAACAGATTTTGCTAGGGAGTACAACATCAGCCACAGTGTTCTTTCAAGGCTTTGAAAATCGTTTCAAACAAATGGAATGTATAACAAATGTCACGGGGAAGGTTGTGTTCACAATGTGACACCTGTAGAAGACAGGCACGCAGTGCTATCGAAAAGAGTGGTACTGCATATAGTTCAGCAAACATACAGGAAAGTGATTGGTATCCTATATGTAATGTCATGGTATGAGCTGAGATTCTGATTAAGGGCCGAGTATCACTGTGTGTTTCCAGTTAGAGTGACGACTGGCCAACAATACATTAACTCTTTCGCATCGAAGTCACTCTTTAAGACGCAACTAAAGTACCTTTCTTTAGTTGCTTCTTTGTTTAGCGTCAACGCTCCCAGGTGAGGTGACTTGCGTCTAGACCACTTATTTTGCTTCCTCCTCAGGTAAAAAAAAATCTTTCTGCTATTCTGTAGCTTCATCACAAAATGTTCAGAAGACATAATATATTAACGCAAGAAGAAATAAATACCATATTATTTGCAGAAACAGATGAATCTGATGAAGATGATGGACATGCAAATAATGAGGACAATGACATCAAACATAATGATAATTTAGAACAATCTGTTTTAGAAAGTGACAAAAATTTGGACTCTATGTGATACCTTTGAACCAGACTGGAAATAACAAGGACATAAAATTTGGAATTTTTCTCTTTCTTACCTTGGCCATCTCATGATTTGCCAACTGAATCATCTGCTTTAGATTATTTCAAATTACCTACTGCGAAGTAATTAGAAAAAATGCAAATAAATATGCAGAATTTTGTGCAAAAAATGTGGTGTTGAAGATGGAAGCTTCAATACTCTCCATAAATGAAATGTGTGCTTTTATAACATTTTTTTTTTCGTAATGAGCATTATGCGTTTACCTATAATGAATGATTATTGGTCCCAGAATCCTACACTTGGCAATGAAGTGATAAAGAAATTAATGTGTAGAGACAGATTTTTAAAAATTAAACATTATTTTCATATCGCCAATAGAGAAAAGGAGGTAAAAGAAAACGATGAAAACTAATTTTTTGAAAATGTTAGAGCCTATTATTTCTGAGGTAAAAGGGCGATTTTCAGATTGTTTTAAGGCTTATGAAAATCTTTCCATTGATGAAGCTATGGTAAAATTCAAAGGGTGTTTAGGAATTGTACAGTATATGCCTTTAAAACCAGATAAGCACAGGCTTAAAATTTGGGTGGCACATCTTATTTGGATTACACTGTAAATTTTGATTTCTATGGGAAAAAACCAGATAAAATTGTGAGATCAGGCAAAGGATTGGGGTACGACGTTGTCACACATTTGATAAAGCCCTTAGCAAGCAAAGGACATGGACTCTGTTTTGATTGATTTTTTACCAGCATTCGGCTGATGGTTGATTTATTGAAATCCGACTTTTATGCTTGCGGAACTGTTATGCCGAACAGAAAGCACTTACCAACTGAAATTAAAACATTGAAATTGAAAATTCCAAATAAAAGTTACACTTTTCAGAGTGAAAAATTTCCAAATATGTTGTGCACGTCTTGGGTAGACAAAAATAAAATTTTTATGCTGTCAACCAACACATCAAATGAGCTGTGTTATGTAAACAGAAGAAAAGGAGCAGAAAAAACTGATGTTCTTTACCCACGTTCTTTCTCAATATATAAAGCGTACATGGGAGGAGTAGATTTGGCAGACCAGAGATGTAAATATTATACAGTTCCCAGAAATCGTCCAAATGGTAGATGTATGCGTTTTGATTCCTTCTGGGGATCATCATCACCAACACCTATATAATTCGGCGTACTACAAATTATCCCAAACAAAAACGATCAAAAACTTTGTATGATTTCAAACTGGAACTCCATGCAAGAATTAGCAAATGTGTTTTTTTCACACAGAAAGCGCACTTCAGCATAATTTGAACCCACTTCCCAGTCATTTTCATAAACGAAGAAGGACGTAAAAGAAACTTGTGTTAGATGTCGGCAGCAAAGAAATAAAACTTCAACAAACAATTCCATTTATCATATGAATATATATTTTTTATTTAAATTAAAGCTATCACATCTTAATACCGAGTATTTTAAGAAATATAAAGTATTCAGATCGTTGCAAAACTGAGGAGAAATACGAATGCTATTGATGTTTGCAGGTGCAATCTGGCCTTAAGGTGAAACTGCACGCAATGAATGAAAACGCAGAAAAACCCCCAAGAGAGAAGTAGTCATTTCACTTAAGTAGGTTGTTGTTAATGCTGTAGCTGTTTACTGGCAGGTCGAAGGAAAACTATTCCAAGAAAAATTCGTAAACACGGGCGTTTTCGATGTTTGATGAAAACAGATCTGGTCATCTCTCGATGTGAAAGAGTTAATGGTGTTCTGATGCCTCATGTTCACATGTCCTGTGGTGCTGTCACTAATAAATTTCTTTACATGGGCATGAACGCAACAAAACATCGAACAGGGACTGTTCAGGAGTATTTAGAGAGCAATGAGGTTCAATGCCTTATATGGTCACCACATTCTCCAGATCTGAATCTACAAATTTATAATTTTCCTGTGAATGTTTTGTGTTGTAAAGGGTTATCTTCAGCAGTTTTAGAATGACATGGTTGAATATTTGTAATAATTTTTGTGTTTGTAATTTGCATCAATTATGAAATTTATTATATGCAGAGTGTTTAATAGATTTGCATTATTGTAGTCCTTTGTATGCAAAGTCTCATTAAAATTTTAATAATTTAAATTAGTGAAATTAAAAAAGGAAAAGATGGTTTTTATTTTATATTTTATCTTTATATAAAAGTGGAGTAGGTTTAAGAAAATCACTGCACTTTAAATATGTCTTTCCTCTGTGTTCTTTCACTTTTTTAAATATGTGTAATGATTTGTTTTCCCCTTTTAGACTCAGCAAAATAACCGTGAATCTGGATGTTTTCCTGTGCCAGGTCCTTCTTCCTCTAGCTCAGAATCTAGTTCATTCAAGAATGTAAATGTAGGAAGCAAAGGAAATTCCCAGGAGGATTTGAAAAAAAATGAAAATCAATTTTTAGAATGTCCTCTTTGTCTTTTTGAGCTCCCACACTTATGCTTTCCCGAGTTAAGATCTTGCAGTCACCGTGCTTGTTTTAACTGCTTACAACAGTACTTAAAAATAGAGATTACTGAGAGTAGGTAAGTAGAATATTTATTATTATTATTATTATTATAACATAGTCAGGGAAGTAAAAATAATCTTTTGAATCTGTACAGTTGAATTTCATTTCTTAATTAAGGGTCATATGAGTAAATTTTGTAATTTTTGAAGAACTGCTGTAGTGCGATTAAACTTGACTAATTAAAATTTTTGGATAATTTGTACTCATTGGAATTCTTCATGATTTTTCTTTGGGATGTTTTTCATTATTGCACAACATGTGGCAAGCAATTTTCTGCATAGAGATACATGCTCGAAATTGATATATTCGGTAAGAAAACATAATTTCATCTTGGATTCCTGTGGAGATCCTAAAATAAAGATAAAAACCCATTCAAATTGATTTTAGCTGACATTATTGCTTATTGGCCACTTTTAAATTAATGTGTTATCTTACAGAGTTATTGTTTTCACATTAAATATTATTAATAAAGAGTTTAAAAATAGGTCAGTAACCTTATCATTTTTAACAGTGTTCATGTTTTCAGGGTAAATATTGTTGATTAAAAGTTTTTAATGTACAGGGGGTTGTAATTAAAGTTCCCTATTGAGAACTATGTAGAGCCTGTTCTGGCAGACTTATTTTGTTGAAACTTGGTATGTATGTTATATAGAACATGGGAAAAAAAGAAAAATGCAATAAAAAATAATAGTTAAAATTTCAAGTAAGAAGGGGCTGCATGAAGCACAAAAAACACAAACTGGAAATACAAAACTATATTTAATTACAGCGTATGTCACTCTTTCAAATCATGTTATAGCGTGTTCAACAGTAATGCACATGTTTCTTGATTATTTGTAGCAACATGACATGTTATACTTGCTTTCAAATCAAGGATAGTCCATATGCTTCCTGCATAGGCACATATCTCTCAGGAATTCCCACAACCAAAAGTTACGATGCTTGAAGTCCAGAGAATGAGGAGGCCAGGCAACAGGCACTCATGATAGAACACCTCTCAGGTCCTTGAGGAGTGTTCTTAAAGGAAAAGGGAGCAAGAATGAAATCAACAGTAAAACCATGCCATACATTTATGTAATCAGGATGCTGAGACCATTCATACACAACATTAGGACTTGCAGCAGCCCATAATGACAGTTTTAAGTATTAACTGCTCCGTCTGGAGTCTGACCACAAAATTTTCCTAGGCCATGCATTGTCAGTGGTTTTCTGGCAGAAAGAAATCTAGCAAAAGCAGTGCTTTTGACCAGGTCTGCATGCAGTTCTTGCAGAACTTGGATCTCGTATGGATACACTTTTACAATGAATTGCAGTACCTTTTGTACTGTTGACCAAGAGAGAGGTAAATTATGTGATACCACTTGAGCATTTGTTGAAGAATATTGGGAACTGGACGCTGTTTTGACCTTCGTAAGAGCAACTTCTTCTAGTTTCATTTGGAATCCTTTTCCACCCTCTTCCTCACAGCACACATGACTCCTCTTCTTTTCAAATTTAGTAATCGTCCTTCACCAACTCTTCCTTGACTAGGCCTTTTTTTTAATGCCTTTCAGGTGCGAACATTCATGTAATGCAGTTAAAAAAGTTACTGCTATTCTGGATAAACCAACTTGATCTGTAAAGCTTGATCTTTCTTCTCTAAAGGCATGGTAAAGAATAATTTTATGGCACTAACCACTGGCCTTTTAAATGCTTTTTTTTTTTTTTTTTCTTACCCCAAATCACCAAGTTTGTTAATATAAATGTCTTGAAATAATACAAAAATAAAATAAATTTAAAATTCTGACTTTGAGGCTGTAGGAGCCGCCATTTTTTGACAGTGTGAAGAACATACATACATTTTTAATAATAGAAATAACTAACTAAATCAATAAATTTTATATATTTAGAAAATTTTACAATCATGTTATTCTGTAAACCATAAAACTTCTTTCTATTTAATGTAATATTAAAGTTACTTGTTTAGCTAAATTTTTTTAAGACTGATTTTTGAATTTTTTCATGATTAACATTTGGAGGAATTATGTGTTTGAAAAGGTGCCCATATCGCTTGCTGGAGAATGATTTTGTTTGCTTATCTTTAGTTGTGTATGGTTCTTTTTTCTTTTAATTCATTTTCTTTTATTAGTATGTTGTGTAACAGAGAGGGGTGTTGATGAGAAGGGTGTGGAAGATGGCCAACATTGTTTGAATGGAGATTACTTGCATTTCTTGGAATGTTGATGTGTGAAGTTCTGTCTCTCACCAAGTTACATAATGTCCTTAAGGGACTGATTTATAATCATATAATCATATTCTTTAAGTTTGGAACTCAAGTTTCTGACCTTCATAGTCGTTCAGAGTGATGTAATTAAAAGGCATTTTTTCCTCATTACCAAGCAGTTACTGTCTTAGAGAAAGAAGCAAGCATATGAGTGACATCATCAAAAATACTCATGTCTTCAAATATTTAATTATATAGCATACCTTCAAGTACTTTATTAGCTTTCCTAATGAATAATACTAAAAATATGGATTATTGAAGCAAACAAGGTGAAATAACAAAAAACAAATAATGGGAACAGATTATCTTGAAATTGATAAGTACATTTTGAAGTGGTTTTAGGCAATTATGAGTATAATGTCTTTTCAAGCCCAGTGGGTATTAATAAAACTGGAGTTTGCCAAATAAGAATTTAAGTATAAGCTGTTTAGCTGTAACTATAAGTCTTTTTTAGTTTTAAATCTAGGAAATAAAATACCATAAAAAAAATTTGCAGCAGAAGTGCATCAGTGAATGTAGAATGGAGAAAAAAGTAGTTCTGTAGGGTTGTGTGAATTCATTGCAGTTTTTTAAACCAAAAATATTTTCATTGTTTCACTGTTATTCAAGTGCATGCTTAAAAACTGCTCATGTTTAAATGTGACTGCTACACTGATTGCAGAAACAACAAAAAGAGAGTAACAATTTTAATGGGAACAAATATCGATGATTTTGAGAAGTTTATCAATGTTACTGTTAGGGAAACCTGATCTAATAAGATGTTTAAATCTGAGAAATGTTTACCTGTACAGTATGAATATATTATGGGAGCTAAAATCAACAGTGAATTTTTAAAAAAAAATGGACCTTTATCGCTGGGTAAAAATTCTTTGCAGCTAACAGTTAAGTTTACATGTTCATTAATAATTACATTGCCTATCATCTTAACATTATTCTGCATAAATATATGAGGATCACTCTGAATTAATCTGAATTTTTTTAGGTACTAATGGGTTTCTAAAGTTATCAAATTTCATGAGTGTTCAAAATAGTCTCTTCCAGTATCAGTGCACTTCTGTAGGTGAATTTTCCAAAGATTAAATGCCTCAGGTCATTTATTTCGTAAAATTAATTATTTCTTTAATTATTTTGTAATTTTTAATCGATGAAAAAACACATTTATAGCCTCATCAATTTTGTCTTCGGAATGAAAGCGACATCTACATAAATTCTTTTTTAGATTAAAAATAGCCATAAGTCACACATAGCTAGATTGGGTGAATAGGTGGATGATCTATCAGTTTTATGCATTTTTGTTCATAAAATTCAACTGTTATGTTAATCTTGCTGAATGAGAAGAAGCATTGTCATGGTGGAGCATAAATCCTCTAACATTCACTTCCTGAAGAATTTCTGGAAGACACTTGGTTAGTTACACCAGTTACTGTGACTGTGTTCTATATTTCCTGCTTAATGGCTTTGACCAATCCTGTATTTCTGAAGAAAATGGCATATATTACTTTTTTCATGTCATGCAGCTTTTACACCATTATGAGCATGGGATGAAATTCAAAGACCTATATTTTACTTTCTTGACTTGTTGGAATGTCAAAAATGGCATGTACCTTTCATCACCAGTTATGATTTCAGAAATAATGCAGTAGTCACCATCTTTAAGTAATTTAAGGGTTTCTTTACTGATTCTGACGTGCTCTTCTTTTTTGTTGCTCAATTTAATTATGGGGAACTGTATGGCAAACTAGCTTTTCCATATTTTTCATGAATAATTTTATGTATGGCAGATCCAATGTTAAGTTCCTTCTGTATCATTTGGTAGGTGTAGCAATTATCATTGATTAACATTTTACATATGGCAGACACATTATCCAGGATTACTGCTGACAACGGTCTTTCTGTGTGTTCTTCATATTCAAGAGAGTTGTAACCTCTGTGAAATTCTGTAAACCATCTGAGTACAGTAGCATGAGATGGACCTTCATTTCCAAATGCTAATTTTAGACGTTGAATGCATTCTTCTTGATTTAATCCCACTTTAAAATCATAATGCAATGATATTCTCTCATCAGCTTCATTTTTCCTTCTGCCTAAAATTTATTCTGCCTAAACTACTTCCAATTGGCCAATAAAAAATTGCCTGCTGTAGTCATATTTTTAAATCTAATATTTTTTTCTGCCATTTATCATCTGCATGTATCTCAAAAATTTCAGACTGACCTTCGTATACTTTTTCATCTTATGGCCTCTCTAGTGCAACTAGTGAAACAGGGTTTATTTAAAACTAGCCGCTACGTGGCCAGCTTTTGTCTGACTTTTAAATGTACCAGAAAAGTGCCTAAAGGGAACACCAAATATTAAATTTAAAAATTGCACAGAATCTACTCTGCAGAACAACTTTATCAATTTTTTTTATAATTTTAATAATTGTTTCATCACAAATTTTAATAAAAATGTATTAAAGTTTATATATAAAAAATTACAATGAAATAAGCAATATCCCTTAATACAAATATTAATTATCCTAATAAATAAATTAGTCAACTTCCCATTGCAAGATCTTAAGAATTCAAATGGTATAAAGGAAGTCTGTGTTTTTTCGCTAATAGCTTAATCACTACTGTCACCAAATTTTCTACAATTCTTTTTTGGGTCCTGGAAAAGGTCAATCAGAGATATTAATTAAAAACTCTTAAAATGCTAATTTTCACCATCATTTTATCTGAGTGGCAACAATGCTAATATTATTAGAATTATCGATCTGATGCAATTTTATCAAAAAAACAGGATGAAAAACTCATTTTAATTATGAAAAAAATCTCTTCAAGGTACGCTGGCTCTTGTCTAGATGCACCTATGTACCAGATTTCGTAGTCTATCAGCTTATGTGCAGCACGAACGAAAGACACACACACATTCAGACAGACTCTTCTTTTTATTTTATGTAGAGGTTGTTAACATTTTTATAGTCTTATAGTTTTGAAAACTTTGGATAACACAGATTCAGATTTGCAAATGAAAATCAATGCCTTTGATGCGTCTGATTAAGTAAAACTTAGAATCATATCTTGCCACAGATGATCATGAGCTGCTTTTATAAACAGGCCAGGCTTCAGGCATAGGTAACATAAGCAGTCACCTAAAGCATTGAT